GGTATTTTATGTATATATTGCACAGTTATACACTATTTTGTTTTTCTTTTCTCCCTTTTTTTTTTTTTGAGACAGTCTCGCTGTGTAACTCTGGGTAGAGTGCAGTGGGGTCGTCGTAGCTCACTGCAACCTCCAACTCCTGGGCTCAAGTGATCCTCCTGCCTCAACGTCCTGAGTAACTTTGACTACAGGTGCATGCCACCATGCCCAGCTAATTTTTCTGTGTTTTTGTAGAGACGGATTTGGCTCTTGCTCAGGCTGGTCTCAAACTCCTGAGCTCAAGCAATCCTCCTGCCTTGGCCTCCCTAAGTGCTAGGATTATAGGCATGAGCCACTGGGTCTGGCCTTGTTTTTCTCTTTATGCTCTTGAAAATGGTATAGGATTAAATTAAAATTGTAGATGACATTTAGAGGACGTTTCATCTGAGTTTGGTGTAGGGGATCCATAACGCATGGTTCACTACGGGATCTGTGATGTGGTAGGAGCACCCAAGATTTGTTGGCACATCTAAGAAAGGAGCCAGATGTGGTACTTTGACTTTTGCCAAGAAATAGAATTCCTGTATTATACTTTAGCTTACTTTATTAATTAGTGAACTTTCCTCCTTTAGTTTAGAGACCAAATGGAATATTATCATACTTTCCAAATATTGAGTTTAAAAGAAGATAAAATACCTATTTTTTTTTTTAAATTAACATTTGCATACTGCTTCACTCATTTAATACTGAGAACTAGGTATTAGCTCAGTCTTAGAGAGGACATGAAAGCACAGTAATATTCAAGGTCACAAAAAACATCGAAATATATTTCTTAATTACTCTTCGTATGTTTAGAGTATTAAAAGACACCAATATGTAGGTACTGATGCTGGTCCTTTATTGCAAATTCTATATTTTATTACAAGTACTGCCCTCCCTCTCTTTAATGTTTGGAAACATCTTGTTTCTTACTTGGGTTAGAGGAAGTGAGTTAGGTCCCAGCCATTATTAATTCAGAAATAACTATCCTTTGACATTCTTTGAAAGCACTAATTCATTGACCATGGAAGTAATGGTGGAGTTTATGGGCTTTAGAGGGTTCTGATGAGCTCAAGTGCTCTCATTACTATCTTATCCTTATAAAAATCTTTTTTTCACTTACAAGTGTAGGGCTTTAAAATTTTTTAATAGGAAATATATGTTCAGGCTAATACAATGTATAAGTAAATATAAAGAATAAAATCTTATCCTTATAAAAATCTTTTTTTCCCTTACAAGTGTAGGGCTTTAAAATTTTTTAATAGGAAATATATGTTCAGGCTAATACAATGTATAAGTAAATATAAAGAATAAAATAAACAACCCTGTAGTACAGATATAGAACTTAAGCTATAGAAATTACCACCACTTTCTGAAGTCCCCACTACGCTCCCCCAAAAGAGGTAACAACAATATTGAATTTTTGCATTGCTCTAAAGTATCTTTTATAT